CCCCCCCTTGACGCCGGGCCTGATTGAGGTATTTTAAAAATTCATATCATAACAAAAATAAACACCGGTATTCGGTATGAACCGGTATACCGCCCAGCACTACTATGTACTGTATATACAATGTTCCAAATTATTATGCAAGTGACATCAATAGGATTTCGGCACAATAAACAGTCAGATTTTTGTCTGTTTTGATTTTCACATCATTTCAGGTAACTGGTATCAATCTCAGACAGGTTTGTTCAATAGTTTGCCAGGTCTTCTTAGGTAAATGGAAACCCTACTTAAAGAGGTTGTTCCACATTATTAAGCAAGTCACAGTTCTCATGCGATATGGTGAGGAAGAAAGATCTTTCTGAAGATGAAAAGTATGAAACAATGCAATGTCTTGCAAAAGGCATCAAAACAAACAATATTTTGCAAAACGCAGATAGAAATTATTGAACTGTCAAAAGATTTGTGAGTGAGAGCACAGAAGATCTTGGTCAGATAAAGATTTATTATAGAAAGTTTCTGTCATGCCAGCTGTATAAAAGCCACTGCTGAGCATCAAATAGGTGTTTGAAGCTACTGGAGTCTCAAGATCCTCTCCATACAGACTGACAGTTGTGTGTAAAGCTGCGTTTCAGTCACTGCTAACGAAACCTCACAAAGAGAAACCTGCACAGTGGCTGTAGAAACACATGAAGACTTGGTTTAGCACCATGGTATTTATGCAGCATGGGATAGTGTGTTGTCCTGCATGAAAATCCTTTTATTTCCGAGAGCACTATTCTTCATTTTATACCACAGCAGAAAATGGTCAGTTATGAACTCCACATATCTTGCAGAAGTCATTTTGACACCCTAAAATGACCTTACACTCACTTCCCAATATTCCAACCCAAATCATCACTCACCGCCTCCTTGCTGATGTAGCAGTCTCATTGGAATAGGATGGCCATTCATCAACTATCAGAAATCCATTTATCTGGACCAATAGTTGATGAATGGCCATCCTATTCCAATGAGACTGCTACATCAGCAAGGAGGCGGTGAGTGATGATTTGGGTTGGAATATTGGGAAGTGAGTTGTAAGGTCATTTTAGGGTGTCAAAATGACTTCTGCAAGATATGTGGAGTTCATAACTGACCATTTTCTGCTGTGGTATAAAATGAAGAATAGTGCTCTCGGAAATAAAAGGATTTTCATGCAGGACAACACACTATCCCATGCTGCATAAATACCATGGTGCTAAACAGTTTGAAAATGTGTTTCTACAGCCACTGTGCAGGTTTCTCTTTGTGAGGTTTGGTTAGCAGTGACTGAAACGCAGCTTTACACACAACTGCCAGTCTGCATGGAGAGGATCTTGAGACTCCAGTAGCTTCAAACACCTGTTTGCTGCTCAGCAGTGGCTTTTATACAGCTGTCATTACAATACAATTCATTTGTTTGACAGAAACTTTCCTTAATAAATCTTTATCTGACCAAGATCTTCTGTGCTCTAAGTCACTCACAAATCTGTTGATAGTTCAATAATCTCTATTTGCTTTTTGCAAAATATTATTTGTTTTGATGCCTTTTGCAAGACATTGCATCGTTTCATACTTTTCATCTTCAGAAAGATCTTTCTTCCTCACCATATCGCATGAGAACTGTAACTTGCTTAATAATGTGGAACAACCTCTTTAAGTAGGGTTTCCATTTACCTAAGAAAACCTGGCAAACTATTGAACAAACCTGTCTGAGATTGATACCAGTTATCTAAAAAGATGTGAAAAACAACACAAACAAAAATTTGACTCTTTATTGTACCGAAATCCTATTGATATGTCACTTGAATAATAATTTGGAACACAGTGTATATAATTATTGGCAGATATTTAGTGGTCCAAAAATTGGGCTGGCAAAGCAAAAGCAGTATGTTCAATTACTGGAAGGGGTTATCCATGAAATCTGAACTATTCATTATTAAACTGTCCTCATATAATTTACTATTGAGTTTCTTTTTAGAAGATTTTACTCTTAATAATCTGAAATATTTTAAATCAGTAATTCCTAGGCAATTCAGTGTTTGCTTTTCATTTCTCAGAACACAGTTCTGAGTGCCAAGCATTTCCTTCAAGCCCAAGAACCTGGGAAGTGGAATATAAATTACACCCAACTCAACCTACAACGGCCCGTTCCAAGGTTAGATACATGTTTTTCTTTTTAGCTATGCAAAAGTAAAAAAAAAAAAAAAAGATAACCACAGCCAATGTGGTTCAGTGAGTGTGTTGACATCTGATGATAATTTACCGTGACCATGCACTGTCAAGCTCCAAATATATATATATATATATATTGTATTGTATTGTATTCTAAAACCATATAATAGCTCAAACTTAATGCATTTGCATGTGTGCGCCAACCATCCCAAGGTCCAACGTTTGGCATCAAAGGTAAGTAATGCTAAGACAGTCAAACAATATATGATTGATTACCTCTAAAGTGATGTTTGATCAAACGATGTGCAAAAATAGTATACAAGTTTGATATATCAAGTTTTGTTTACTAAACTTTTGCTTTATAGTACCACATGGCAAAGGAAGCAGTTTCTGTACAATTGTGATCGATTTTTTTTTTTTTTTTGGTCAATTTTCATAACAGTGAGAGCAACTACTGAAAATTAAGTTTCTACCTTAACTCTTATATCTGTAGGTGGTGCTGCTGGTGGTGGCTACTCTCAAGTTATTCCCATGGAAGAGGTATTCTTTTGGCATCATATTCTTGTTTGATTAATAAGGATATATAAAAACATGTTCAGTGATGGTCTTCTCTTCTTAGTTCAATCTTCATCTGACTGGTGACATTCATGCCATCACAGCAGCCAATAACCTGGTAGCTGCTACAATTGATGCTCGTATGTTCCATGAAGCCACCCAGTCTGATAAGGTATTGTCTGTTCATTCATTTATTGGTTCATTCACTGATATCGCATTCTGATGTGATCAGGGTTGAATTTTTGTTCAGGCTGTCAGTTAATTAGAATGTAATTAATTAGACAAAACAATAACTGATCTTGTTATTGTTTTTAAGATGTTTTAACTGGAAAATTAGGCAAAAATACTCATTAGGAATATTATTTTTTGCAGCTTTTCATTGTTGCAGACAGAAATTCTTTTGTCTGCAACAATGTAATATTGTTGATTTCTTTCTTTAGAGCATTTGAGGGGAGTTTTATCAGTAAATATAGATTTCTATTTACTGATAAAACTCCCCCAGTGCAATAAGACAAAACACACTTTCTTTCTTTCTTTTTCTCTCTCTCTCTTTTTCTTGAAAACAAATAATAAAAATACAGTTGAAAAACTCCAAATCCATTTTTGCAGTGTGTAAGTGTGTTTGATTTAATATTTTTCTAAGATAGAAAAACAATATACAGTGGGTACGGAAAGTATTCAGACCCCCTTAAATTTTTCACTCTTTGTTATATTGCCAGCAGGCACAATTTTTTTATATTTATTTTTGTTTAATTTAATCAATATAATTGAATTTACTTGAAAGCCTTAATTATGTAGATGTATGCCATTCCAATATTCAATATACTAGGGGTGTAACGGTACACAAACATGGCCTCGGTACAGCAGGGGGAAAAACTAAACATACATTTTTTTTTTTTTAATTAAACAGTGGTTTACTGAACAAATTGCTCTTTCTTTAAATAAATTCAGTTATAATTCAAATTTTCTTAGGCATAAAAATCTACCTTGGCTTATGCTCTAAACTATAGTGAGCCCTTTTACATTAGGCCTACTATAAGGTTACAGTTAACAATAGAGCCCAAACTTAAATTTAATTATTTATTTTTAAATATAACATGCAACACTCAACTTAAAAAAAAAAGTATGCAAACATGTAAATTGCACATAATGCAGTTTTTAAATTAACTTCTAAATTATAAAAATTCTATTTGTTGTTTACACAGTGCCTCTCATAACTCGTTTCTTAAGATTTATTTAAACATTAAATAATTAAGACATCACTAACAGGTAACGAATAATGAGTATATAGTCTAAAATTTCACGAAATGCTCTTCTCTAGACTTCATTTATAGCGCACTAACGAGCTGTGGACACTGATGACTGCCTGAGGTAAATGAAATGCTATGTGCCATTTTGTTTACAAGCTGTTTTATTGCCATCTTTCCGCGGTTGAAACACTGATTGAGCGATTACATGCGGCATGAGATGTTCATTCATGTTTAATTTCGCGTTAAAACTAGTTGTAAAGAGGAAGAGATGATCGCGCTGCCGTTTGAACTGAGGCGTTTATACAGCGATCTGTCGCCACATCAAAGAGCGCCAAGACAGCATTTATTGTTTGAATTTCCTGAAAAAAGGACATAATTTGAAAGATAAGACTTTGATTCTTATCAAAAGTAACAATATATAAAACTGGAAGTTTACAATGGTTCGGTACACATGCATACCGAAACGAAGGACCCATACCGAAAATTTTCGGTACAAATACGTGTATAGTTACACCCTTACAATATAAATGTTGGAAAATTGTACTTTTTTTTGTAAATATAAACAAATTTTAATATAATATAAAAACATTTTAATGGCTACAACACACTCAAAAAAAAAAGTTGTGATGGGGTATGTTTACAACTGTTAACTTTAACTTAACTTTATTTTTACCTTACCTTGCATGACCTTTCCTTTTAAGTACAATTTTAATCATTTCTGAAATGAGGATAGTATTTGCTGCAGTTTTGTGAGTGGAATTTTTCTTGTTTGATACAAGACCTCACCTGCTCAACAGTCCGTGTTCATAATTATCTTGTTCTCCTTTTCACGTCGTGCCATACATTCCAATTTGTGTCTACGAAACCAGGCTGTTGTTGCACATGCAGAATGACACCTGGCATGTTGGCTTTTACACCTGTTGTGGAGAAAATTCTGGGTGGTCCCTTTTGCCTTAGACATGGAGAATTCTCTTGTCTGTTTTTCCCAAAAACAAGTTGAAACGTGGATTCACATGACCACAGCACACATTTCCACTGTCTTTCATATGATATGATGTGAGCTTTGGCCCAGAGAACTCAGTAGCATCTCTGCATGGAATTCATGAATGGCTTCTCCCTGCATAAACAATTCCAGTTGCATTTCTTCATGCAGCATTGTACTGTGTTAAGTGACAATGGTTTTACAAAGTACTCTTGAGCCCATGTGGCTATATTTACCACAGTAGCATGATGATTTCCCATGCAGTGCAATCTGAGAGCGTGAAGGATACACACATTCAACAGAGGTTTCCTTCTTCCTCTGTACAGACTGAGATTTCTCCAGATTCCCTTAATTTTTTCACATTATTATGTACAGTAGATGATTAAAGACCTAAATGCTTTGCAGTCTTGTATCGAGAAATTTTATTTGTAAAAGGTTTGAATGATACTTCGGTGGATTTTTTTCTGAATTTTAAATGAACAAATGACAACTGTGAGTGAGTCACAAAACTGCTAAAAAAATTTGACTTTGGAAAGTCAAAATGAATTGTTGTCAAATCAATTATTCCACTGGACTAAGCTTCTCTCCTTACTTAAATACATATTCCAGTCAGTATTCAGAGTGTTGCCTTAAAAGTTTTGTTCCCCTTTTCAGTCCGTTATCAGACTCAAAATGCAAACTATGAAATACAAACACAAACACAATGTTTCTTTATCGTTGATATTTTTCTAAGCAGAGCTCTTATGTTGCTTTTATACAAGACATTAAGATATTGAGCATGTCTGTGTCCCTAAATGTGGACGATGTGTGGCGATCAACATGAGAAAGTGTTAAAATGCCCCTTTTATGCCTTTTCGAATATTACCTTGCATGCAGTGTGTCATGTAGCTGTATGTGAACACAAACTATCTGCAAAGTTGTGAAGCTGACAGTGCACGATAAATAAAGTTATTGTCTATCAAAAAAAAGAGTCGGCTCGCAATTGCCTAAACAAGTCGTCAGGAATTCGAATGTTATTCTGTTACGGTTCTACGTCATGAAGTAACACATTTGCATAATGTCTGCCCATGTTCTACGTCGCCATCAACCGTTTCATCATCAGACTCCAGCTCGAATTGGTAAAGTACAATCGATACTATCTTTTCTATGTATTGACAAGTCTCCAGGGCTGTCATTCCGTCATGGCAATGGGCGTTTTGTTTCCAACACGCGCTGTACGCGGTAAACCAATCCAGAGCCAATCTCTGTACGGCTCTGGACCAATCACAAGGGACTGCGCCATCTGACCAATCACAGCAGTGAGGGCTCACGGAAAGGAGGGGTTTAGAGAGACTGATTCTTTGAACTGATTTGCACGAGTCGTTTACGAATCATTTAGAAATGAGGTCAAATTAAATCTATTTTTTGAGAAAACTAACGTGTTTTTTGACCTTGCATGCATGTAAACCTGTTTTAGGAGACTCCTAAAACAATATTAGCAACCTTAAAAATGGCATAATAGGGGCACTTTAAGATGGCTTAATGGTGAGAAGATGAGCAATTTAAATGTGTCCCTGCACCAGTGTAAATTATTATATTATCTGCATCACATTTTAAGAATTGCTTATCCTGCAGTTAAAGTCCAAATCAACAGCTAAATATCATTCTATCAATGCACTAGGCTCTCTTTAATCGGTTGGTACCCTTCACTGGAGGTCAGAGGAAGTTCTCCCCAGTTCAGATCAACAGACTTGAAGTAAGAATAATGCTTTTTTTTTTTGTTGTTTTTTTATTTAATATCCTCCTCTCTAAGCTTTACATTAGATTTGCTCTTGCATTGTCTTACTTTCTGTAATTTTATATGTTTGATGTTCCTTGTACTAATAGAAACTAGGTATAAAGAAAACGGACCCCAGCACGTTAACAGAAGAGGAAATCACGCACTTCGTGAGGCTGGACATTGACCCTGAATCCATAACTTGGCAGCGAGGTGTGATAGAATGCGTAATGTTGTTTTTATTGTTCTTATACTATAGAGATGAATAAGCTGAAATTAAAAATTGAATGAAAGCTGAGTGCATCTTTTATACTAGAACATTTTTCTAGATTGCTATTAGTTTTGATGTTACTGAACATTATACATTTGTACAGTGTATACACATTTGGGTGAAATGTAAATCTTTTGAAAAATGTTTTATAGTGCTGGACACAAATGATCGGTTTCTGAGAAAAATCACCATTGGCCAATCTCCAACTGAGAAGGGCTTCACCAGAACTGTGAGCATCACACACATTACCAAATGCTTTACATACTGATGAATAAGTAGACTTGATTCATTAATTTTATAAAGCCTGTCCAAAAATAAACTGCATAAAATTTATAATGCCAAAGATTCAATTTCAATTCAAGTTTATTTGTACAGCGCTTTTCACGATACAAATCATTGCAAAGCAACTTTACAGCAAATTAAGTTTCTACAATATTTAGTGGTAGCTTATCAGTGGTGACTGTCAGTTAATGTACATATGGCAGAAATGTACGGAAAAATCAATTAAAGACGTAATCAAACAGACGATGAACACTATTAAAGATGGTTGTAGCTTCTAATATGCAAATGATTCAGGCCATTAAAACAGCTTTTTATTTATTTATTTATTTTATTTTTTTGTTAGGAGCAAAGTACTCTATGCACAAACATTGTTCAAACATTCTGTTTGTTTAAATGTTATATTTGATTAGCCAGACACGACACAGCACTCATGCCATGCCGCAAATCACTGCAATAGCCAAAGACGTCCACCTGATTAACATACGCAGCAGAAGAAATATGTTCCTGTGTTCTTGTTCAAAGACCTTAACTTTTTAATAGCTCAGAAGTTATAAGTTAACATTTATTTATTTCCCATGTGAGCCATGGGACAATGACTTAACATTTATTTCTTTCCCATGTGAGCCATGGGACAATGTCTTGTCTTTCTCCAGTACCATGCAGTATCAAATGTTATCAGTCTGCAGTGTTGCCTGGGGGATAGAGCAAAAATTTTAAATCTTGATATTTTACCACTTAATGGTTTTTACCAAATTAACACAAAAGGAATATTGAAAAAATATGTATGCACATAAAGGTACAAAAATAAAAATGTGAAAAATATTTTTAAAAAATGTCATCTTCCTACAAAAAGTTGTGGCTGTTGCAACAAAGTAAGTTTAAAAAATAAAAAAAAGCATTTTATAGAACAAGTGAACTAGTATGCATTTACACTCCAGGACTTGATGCACAGATCTATTTTGACATAGATCTGGGGCCGGATTCACGAAAATCTTCTTAAGAAATAAGTTAAGACATTTCTTAAGATAAATTCCACGAAGTTCGTAAGAATATTCTTAAGTGCAATTCTTGAAAAATTCTTAATAAGTTCTCAAATATATTCTTAAGAACATCTTATTTTTTTTGTTAAGAAGAAAATAACAGTCGTTATCTGAGTGAATACATGACGCACTGATAAACTCACACTTTGTCTTTTTGCGCTTCCTGCAGATTACCCTAATAACCATAATAAGCACGCACACTACTTTCGTCGCGAGTTTGACTGGCGCTCAGCTTCACGTTTTTAATGCGGCGTGTTTTTGAACAGTTACTTTTAAATAGCCTGTCTCAAGCTGCAGCGATATGTTTCATTCATTTTTGTGCTGTTTTTTTGCACTGTCATCCGAGTGAACGCTTCCGGTATGTGTGTCCGCGCTTTTACAGTAAACGCGTCCTGCGCATTCATATGCGCTGAATACTGCCGAGGATTATGTCGTATTTATAGCCTAAAACTAAAAGCGTTCAATTAAAGCTCCCTATCCGACTCGTTTTAGAGTTGTTACTGAGTTTTGAAGTCAACAAAAAGTAGCGTCACACATAGGCCAATCATGACCGATCATTGTTTACATTATCAGTCATCGCTGTCGCTTCAGAAAACTCGTGCACATCCCTATTAATAGTCCTACTATGTATTATATGTAGCTAGTGTTGTTGTAATGCTTAAATATAACAATTTATTTGAAATAACCCAATAAATTCATTAAATAATTCTTACTGTTTGGGATTTAAGACAAGTCTGGGGCTGTCCTAAATTTAAGAAGTTATTTACGATGATTTTTAAGAAGATTCTTTTCAAGAATTTGAATTCTTCTCAAGTTTTGTCTTAAGAACAATCTTAAGAAAAAAGATTGCGCTTGTCAAAGGAGGGGGCTTTGTAGAAAACGAAGCGTTTGAGAGAGGCGGGGCATATAGGACCTACAATAATGTACAGTATTTGAAAAATAATGTGTTTTTTGAACATTAAAGCATGTGAACATATTCTGTTACACCAAATACACAAAATAATGATCTTTAAAAAAGCATCATATGACCCCTTTAAGTTTTGTCTTAAGAACAATCTTAAGAAAAAAGATAAGAATATTCTTAAGAAGAATTTTTGGGAATACAAAATATTCTTGACTTTTTTTCTTAAGTTTAAAAATAAGAAGAAAATGGCAATTGAGAAGAAATTCCTTCTTAAGAATGTTTCGTGAATCCGGCCCCAGGGCCCGTATTCACAAAACATTTTATCTTACCACTAAGAGTTCTCCTAAATAGTAAAAGTTTGTCTCAGCAGCTTTGTGAATAGGTTTTAAGAGCAGTAAAAGTTTTTAGCTAAGAGTTTTCTAAGGAATAGACAGAAGTCTAAGTGTCACTAATTAAACAAGGCTATATATTCAGCTAATTGTCAGCCTCTATATGCTTCTCGTAAACAATTAGTCAATATGCATTAGGGCTGCCCTCGACTAAAGATTTTTCTGGTCGACTAGTAGTCGTTCATTTTAAGCATTAGTCGACTATTAGTCGCACTTTTATTAATAAACCATATAAATCATAATAATGAGCCTTTAA